ATCTTTTTTACACACTCCTTTTACCAGTTGATAGACCATTTTAGATCCATGGTAATCGATCTTATATAGCATTGCCCTCTAATCATCATTTGTAGAGTTGATATCACCAATATTCCAAACAACTAACTAATCGTATGCATATAATTTTCAGTTATAGCTGATATTCAATAGTCCGAGAAGAGGAATTCTTCGTATTCATTCCGCGTGGAAAAAATTGAGTACCATCCTCTTGTGGATGCCTTGAAAATCACTTTTCAGATATCAGTTTGGAAGATGCCGTGTTAATGCTATCTGTGTGACAGAGTTTCCCAGAAGTTGCATTCCTTGTAATGTAAGATATTCATGTGTAGGAGGCTGTGTAAATTGAATAATCCTTCCTCACTTAACCAATTTCGATAACATTTTAGTTAAATGTGTTTGCACGCTGGAATTTTTTAATATGAACTCAATTTTTATTACCTAAACAAGATTTTGCTCAATTTGAAATTTGGACAGTAATCATGTTCACTTTGCATCCAAACTGTAATCATTTGTCATTAATTAAATTAGTAAATATCTGATGTCGCTTTGAAATTAGCTGCTTATTTAAACAAGTATTTATATCGATTAATCCATAAAATCTGAACTTTTTCGTTATTCATGCTATCTACGTCTGTAGGATAGATAAGTTGATTAAGGCCTACTTCGAAGTGAATAATTAAGCAGAAATATCCTATGTATGTAGTAACTGTTCAAAGTAAAATTTCGCCATTTTTTAAATTTGAATCTTTACTTTTCATAAATTCCAAAGTTGCGAGAAATAATAGTAAATTATCTTCCCATTATTTAAAACACGCATAGTTAATAATACTGTTTCAACAGTTACAATTTTTCATGATGTCAATTATTTGACTAAAAAGTATCTAATTTCACTCGTATCCGACCAACTAAAGATTATCAAATTATATTGATCGATTATATCACCCGAACTTCAATTATATTGGCCTTTCCTGCATTTAATTAGTACCTTTGAAAACATTAATAATTAAATTAGTGCAATAGTTGTTCAGTATTGAATTGGAGAACACAGTAAATTGATTATCTTTTTTATTATTTTGATAAAATATAAGAAGAGACTTTACCAAAAAATACCTTTAACCATTCACTTTGAATTAAATTTCATTGAATTCTGATGATATTTGAAAGAAAATTATATTTATCTCCAAATTAGCTAATTATTCATTTCGGCAGTAGATTAATTTGAATGAAGTACTTTCAAGCCGAATAAAATGTGAAAGGATTTATTTTGTCAAAGTGGGCAGGCAGAATTCCGATTCAGTTTGGCTGATATTCATACCAAATTCTTTTTCGAATAATGCATGGTCTTACAGCTGCAATCCAGATGATTATTGAGCCGAATCATTAAATGACTTCTTTATAATTCTATGCCTTTAAAAATACATTCAGATACAAATCTGTGAAAGGAATCAAATCACTTTCAAAATTATGTATTTAATGATACGCAATCTAAATTGTTGATCGAGATTTCGCCAAATATTAGAAGCCATCATTTAAGCATTGATAAGCATATTCTTCAAATTTTCACTGTCTAAACAAATTTCTGCTTTAAATGGAGACCAAGCTTATAAAAAAGAAGAAATAATCTGGGAGAGGGGGGACGATTATATGCGAAAGGTTTTTAATATACAAGCCGTAACAGCAGTATGAAAGTGAATTCAGGGTCTCTTTAACGTTGAACCATAAAGCATGAAATGATGGCTCAATAGCAAGTAAAGATACTGACTGTGTAAACATTTTATGTCTGATGTAACAAAATTGAGAGCTGCCAAACAAGGTTTGGGCGTGAGGTTAGACAGAGAAGTTGTAGGGGTTAGCGTTAAAACTAGGTAAGGGTTGGCTAGAAGAGTAGGGCGGATGTGGGCTGGTAATTCATTCTATTGGAGGAAGAGGTGTAGTGTCAACAAGGGCCTTTGAAATAATTAACAAACTTTGTGAAATACAGGTTTGTGCTTAGTGAGATCAAAAAATTTTATTTATTTATATCAAATGGCAGGCGTTTGGATAGTTATCATTAGCCCTTTAGTTGACTTCAGGCTTCAAAGAGAGGAGGAGGAACATCAAAGTGACAGAAAGTCGAGAGGGGGGACAAAATAATGATTCACAGATGTAAAAGAAACAGACAGGCATAGTCAGAGAAAAGGAAAGATGAGTATTGTGGAAGTGGTTGAATATGGCATACAGTGGAGTGATGGTAGTTTTACGTCAACTGCCGGTTTATAGACTTTTTTGTTGTATGAGTATACGTTGCCCAGGGTGCAGCATATGGGGGGGGGGGTTAGTCTATCGTGCACCCCTAATTTACGGAAATAAAAATACAGTTCTACTATGACTTTAATTCCTTATTTTACTACAACAAGTTTTTTTAACGTTACCAACTTCGATTCTATCACCAATTTTTTTCATAAAGCTCCTCCTAATTAAAAATTGCTAATTAAACAATATAAATATAAAAATTATTCATTAAAAATTTGAGATCCATGTTTACCTGAAACTTCTTTTTAGCGGAGCCTTCAGTCGTGCTCACTTGTTAATAGATAAAAAGACAAGCAGAGAGTACGTGGGCAAAATTTATGCTCTTGAAGATCCAATGACTCGGGTTCTGGGAGCTAGAGAATTTGAGTGTCTTAATCGACTCCATCACAACAATGTTGTCGAGATGGTTGACGCTGTTGTCAGTGATGATCATCTCGTCCTTGTCACAGAAAGGTGAGATTACTTCCTTTTTTTACTATTTTTGTTGGACAATGGTGTAGACATTTATCGACATCCGCTTTCTTCCAACAGACTTTCCGGAAATCACTTGCTGGAAGAAGTCCTCCTCGGTCACACGTGGACGGAAGCAGCAGCAACAATGCTCATTAAAGAGATTTTAGAAGCTGTGGCACACGTTCATGATGAGGGTATTGTTCATCTTGATATCCAAGTAAGATTCCCTATCTAATTTATTCAGCTACCCAAAATTTGTAAATAATTAAAACCAATATCATTATTTTCTACAGCCTGATAATATCATATTCCCTCGTGGCACATCATCACGTTCTGCTGGTTTGGAGGGCCTCATGAAAGCCCTCAGTAGTCTCTCTGTCGATACAGCAGGTGCTGGTGGCCGCAGTGACCTTGGTGTTGTCTCATGTTTTGTCAAACTCACAGGATTTTCAATGGCACAACCTGTTGGACAACGTCAAGGTCTTCATATGGCCAGTATCATGCCTCCTGCTCTATGGTGTCCCGACTTTGCAGCTCCCGAACTTCTCAGAGTAACGAATGCAATCGATACTAATGAAGATAACTCCGAAATCAATATCACCTTTGCTGCGGATGTGTGGAGCATCGGTGTGATCGCTTATCTCCTGTAACTAGTCTATCTCATATACTCATATTTCTAAAATAGTCGAATAATAATTACGTTTTTTCTCTAAAGTCTCT